CGGGGGAGGAGCAAGAGAGAGCAGAGGGAGGAGCAGAAAGCAGAGAACAGAGAGAGGAAGGAGACCCAAGAAAGAAACAAGGGCCGAGAGAGACAGGCAACAGAGATCTGGAAGTGAGCAGAGAGCAAGCTGAGAAAGACCAAAGAGGTGTGAGGAAGAGCCAAGGGAGAGCCTAGATGTGAGGACCAAGATGAAAGAGGGCCGAGAGAGCACCAAGAGAACAGTGAGGGCCTACAGAGATGTGAGAGCGCCAGGAGAGGAGCAAGGGAGGAGAGAGCCGAGAGCAAGCTGAGGGTCAAGACAGAGCAGGGAGAGGGGAGAGGGCTGAGAAAATGCTGAGAGAGGAGCAAGGGCTGAGGGATGGGTGAGAGCCTAGAGACTGCTGGGAGAGGGCTGAGGGAGGAGAGAGATGAGAGAGGTCAAGGAGAGCAGCGAGGGCCAAGAGAGAGCTGGGAGAGACCCGAGAGAGTGGCAAGAGCCCAAAGAGCCAAGACAGAGCCAGGATAAAGACAAAGGAGGAGAGAGCCAAGAGAAAGATGAGAGAGGAGCCAGAGCCAAGAGAGAGCTGACAAAGAAAATAATAGAATAGAATAGTTCAGTTGGAAGGGACCTACAACGACCATCTAGTCCAACTCCCTGAACACTTCAGGGGTAAACAAAAGTTATTAAGGGCATTGTCCAAATGCCTCTTAAACACTGACTGGCATGGGGCATCGACCACCTCTCTAGGAAGCCTCTTCCAGTGTTTGACTACCCTCCCTGTAAAGAAATGTTTCCTAATGTCAAGTCTGAACCTCCCCTGATGCAGCTTTGAGCCATTCCCACACGTCCTATCTCTGGATACCAGGGAGAAGAGATCAGCACCTCCCTCTCCACTTTCCTTCCTCAGGAAGCTGTAGAGAGCAATGAGGCCCCCTTTTCTCCAAACTAGACAATCCCAGAGTCCTTAGCTGCTCCTCATAGGACATGCCTTCCAGCCCTTTCACCAGCTTTGTTGCACCCCTCTGGACACATTCAAGGACCTTAGCATCCTTTTTAAATTGTGGGGCCCAGAACTGCACACAGTAACCAGCTGGTTATATTGTGTTTGATGCCCCCCAGGGTGCAGTTTGCCCTCTTGGCTGTGAGTGCACACTGCTGACCCATATTGAGCCTGCTGTCAACCAGCACCCCCAGATCCCTTTCTGCAGGGCTATTCTCCAGCCCCTCCTCTCCCAATTTATACTTGTGCCTGGTGTTACTCTGTCCTTGGTGCAGAATCCGGCATTTGTTCTTGTTAAATTTCATGCCATTAATGATTGCCCAATGCTCCAAAGCATTGAATGCCTCCACTTTTTCTTCATCCCTATTAGTCAGGTGACCATCTTCAACAAGTATCGGTCCAATGTTTTCTTTAGACCTCCCTCTTGCTATTAACATACTTTAAAAAGCCTTTCTTGTTGTCTGGCACAACACTGGTCAGTTTCAACTCTAATTGAGCTTTGGCCTTTCGTGTCTTCTCCCTGCATATATGAAGGAGCAAGAGCCTAGAGAGGAGTGAGGGTAAAGAGAAGAGTGAGGGCTGAGAGAGAACAGAGAGAGGGGCAAGGACTCAGAGACGTGAGGGGTGAGAACGTGCATGAGAAAGGCAAGAGAGACCTGAGAGCGAGCAGAGAGCAAGCCAAGAAATCCCAAATGGGAGCAAGGCAGAGCCAATAGCTGAGTGAGGGCCAAGAGGAGCGAGGGCCAAGAGAGAGCTGAAAGAAGAGCCAGGGCCAAAAGAGAGCAAGGCAAGAGCTGGGAGAGGGGCAAGGACCGAGAGAGAGATCACAGAGAGGAGTGGGGACCGAGAGAGCTGAAACACGAGAGAGGGCCAAGAGACAACCAGGAGAGGAGTGAGGGCCGAAAGAGCCAAGAGAGGGTCAAGGTCTCTGAGAGAGTTGAGAGGGGTGAGAAGGCTGAGAGGAACAAGGGCCAAGAGAGAGCAGGGGGAGGCCTAGAGAGCCAAGAGGGAACAGGGAGGAGAGAGCCAGGGGAGGTGCGAGGGCTGAAAGAAAGCCAAGAGAGGGGAGAGGGCTGAGAAAGGGACACGAGAGGTCCCGGGAAGGGGAGAGGGAGGAGAAAGCTGAGACAGAGCCAGGAGAGGGACAAGAGCCAAGAGAAAGCCAAGAGAGGAGCAAGGGCCTAGAGAGAGCTGAGAGAGGAGCAAGGGGCAAGACAGAGACAGGAGAGAGCTGTGAGAAGGACAAGGGCATAGAGGGCTGAGAGCACGCCCAGGGAGGGGACATAAAGGAGAGCTGAGAGAGACTGCTGGGTACATGGGAAGGGCCGAGAAAAAGCTGAAAAGGGGCAAGGACTGTGAGAAAGCTGAGAGGGGTGAGTGCCAAGAGAGGAGCAAGGGCCAAGAGAGAGCCAGGAGAGGGTCAACGGTTGAGTGAAAGTGGACGGATAAGTGTGGGGCAAGAGAGAACCAAGATGAGCCAGAGGAGCAAGGGCCAAGAGCCAAGAGAGGAATGAGAGCCGAGAGAGGGGAGCGAAAGGAAAGAGAAGCAAGGGCTGAGAGGAACGCAGTCTGAAAGTGAGGAGCAAGAGCCAGGAACAAGGAGCGAGAGCAAGGAGTAGGGGGAGAGAGCAGCAAGAAGCAAGAGCCAAGAATGAGCAGGCAAGAGTGATGAGCAAGGAGCAGAGAGCAAGGAGCAAGGGCCAAGATGAGGAAGGGCCGAGGGAGAGGGGAGCAAGTAGCAAGGGATGAGAGCTGAGAGAGTGGAGTGAGGAGTAAGAGAGAGGGAAATGAGGACAGGGGGCGGGGCAGGGAGTGCCAAGAGAAAGGAAGCATGACTGAGTGTCAAGGAGCAAGAGCTGAGCAAGAGGATAAAGGAGTGAGCAGCCAAGAGAGAGGAGCTATGGCCAAGAGGAGAGAGGAGTGAGAGAGGGCAGAGAGCTAGGACTGAGGTCAAGGGCCGTGAACAAGGAGCAAGGGCCGAGAGAGGGGAGTGTGAGGAATGAGGACCAAGAGGAGCGAAGAGCAAAGAGAGGAGAGGAGTGGGTGGCAGAGAGGGGAGCCGAGAGCAAGGAACCAGGAGTGAGAGCTGAGGAGCAGGGAGGGAGAGCTGAGAGAGCGCAACAAGAAACGAGAAGCCAAGAGATATTAGCATACAGCCGAGAGGAGCGAGAGAGGACCCAGAGAGAGGGGAGGAAGAGGGTCAAGAGAGGGGAGCACAAGAGGCATGAGGGCCAAGAGACAGGAGAGCGAGAGGGGCGAGGGGGTTGGGAGGAGTGAGGGCTGAGAAGGGGGAGGGAGCGACAGCTGAGAGAAGGGAGCAATGGGTGAATGAAATGGGTGTAGGAAGAGTGAGGCAAGAGTGAGAAGAGGGCAAGAGGCGCAAGGGCCAATAGAGGGGGGAGCGAAAGGAGGGCGAGGGCAGATAAAGCAGGGAGGGGGAGGAGCGAGGGCCAAGCGAGAGGAGGGTGAAAGGGGAGCAGGACCCAAGAGAGGGGAGAATGAGGGGAGGATGAGAGGAGTGAGTGCCGAGAGAGGAGAGCGACAGATGTGCAAAAGGAGAGAGGGCCAAGGG